TCTAAATTAGAGCATGGCTTGCCGTAATGGTAATATGCTGATTTGGAAGGGAAATGGGTGTGGCTTGATTGAGTCCTTGTCTAATAAAAAGGTAGAAACCCTATCTATATAGAAAATATGCCCAGTGGACTGGTGAACCTTTGAATGGCTTGTTTTTAGTGTAGAACACCTTCACGTTCGCTAGCCAAAAGGAAAAGTGGTGAATAATACAAAACTTGGTTTTGTGGGTGAGAAAAAGCCCTTGACTCATTGGAAACTATACAGCACTGAGAGAAGCACTATGGAAATCTATAGAAAATATGTCTATTTGGACGCTTAAAACATTCCTGGGGACAGGATCTCAAGAATAAGAATTCAAAAGGAAAATCCTATCCTAAGTTTTCACTACAAGCTTGTACAAAGTTTTCAAGCTCATCTGGAGATAAATGGGAAGCATCAAAGTAATCTGCAATTTACAGATAATATTGTTAAAATCACTGCCTAGCTATAGATTGCTCGCCATGTACAAGTCATTTAGCAAGGAATGTGGATTAAAGAGGAATACAGGAAAGACTAAGCTGACGTACAGCCTCTAGTTCAAGGGGGGGGAAAAAACCTTGGTAAATGGAAAAGAATTAAAGATCTGAAGAATACATTTATCAGGGACAGCTTTTTTCATTTGGAAGATTATGGTCATGCACTGAAGATTAATAGGAAAGTCTGGGTGGCATATAAAAGAATGTTGGGAAGCTAACATAGTTATGAAAAGTAACCTATCAAACATGCCTCAATCATTGTGTACTCCCTGCCATGATACAGATTATTGAGCAGAAACCTGGGCAACAACAACAAAAATGAAGCATAATGAAGTATCAAAGTAACTATTATAAATTGCCAACCTACATGTTAACTTTTGTGGGTAACTGTTAAAAGAGATACCAAAGCTCACCTGATTCTTTGGGGCTACAATATGCCATGAGCAAGTGACTCCTGCTGGGTAATCGCGATCTGGCCAATTAGGAGTTTTAAAGGACCCAGAAGGCTTGTCTAGTCGTCCACCACAGTACTGATCCCCTAGAAATACAAAACATAACATACTGACCAAAAGCACAGGGCATGTGTGTAATGCATTTAATACAGCTGTTCCACTACAGCCAAATTCCCAACTCCTGTGTTTAGCCAAAGGAAATAAGCTTTTGTGTAGGGGTGCTCAGATGAGACCCATAGAAAATGCTCTCAGCCTGAAGTTCTTCCTCTGTAGGTACGTGTAGCTGAAGATACAGCTCACTTGACACTTTTCTCTAGAGCCACTGCACAGCAATACTTCACAGGGTGTAAGGGGTTTTAGAGACCACTGTATAGCCTCTCTGCAGCAACACCATTTTGTGCAACATAACCCTGCTAGTTCCACTGCATTTAGGGCCCTCCGTGCCCATGGGGAGGATTTTGTCCATAGTAAAGAAACTAAAAACTGTTTGTGGCTGGTCTCTTTACTTTGTAGAGACTTTAACATATTCTATATTTTTTCTGTAAGATCCATGATAGCAGTGTATTAAGATTAACTTTGCTGATCAAAAGATTCTCCCTTGTCCCCAGACTACAAAATTAAAACTATTTTCCCCCATGGCAAAATTGAGGGTGAGAGAAAAGCTTAGGAATTGGCATCTATGCCTAACAGGAGTCAATATCCATGACTGAAAATGAAAATGGGGAAAAAAAATAAAAACTTTACTAACTTAACAAAAATGAAGACTTCTTTTTTTAAAGTGCCAGTCTAGGGCTTCATTTCTCCTCCTCCCAGCCCCAAATACTGTGGTGAATACATTATCCTTGACTATAACACAAGTGTGCAGCTTCTTCATTTTTGTATCCTTTCAGTACCAAGGATGCAGGGTTCTGGATGTTATAACTTTCAAAGAAGTAGGAAACCTTACTTTAACTTTAAAAGTTCCTTTGGCCTCAAAGTCTAAGTACATTCTATAAAAGACAAGATAATGTTTGCAGTGGTGGCGCCAGGCATAAGTAGACTTAGCAGTTGCTTAGGGCCCCCATTGAGTATTATTTCCAAAATACCATTCATCTTATTTAACATGGACTTTTTAACAAGTATATTAGCATATGATGTGTTGGTATATTTTTTGGTTTGTGGAAATAATGCAATTAGTATTTTTAGGGGATGGGTGAAGGGTAAGGTGTGGCCCCAGAAATATTCCTGCTTAGGACCCCCGATGGGCTAGCACAGCCTCTGAATGTTTGCCTTTAATATTTGCATAGTTGTAAAATACCTCTTTCATGTGGTTCTGCTGCAGAAAACATAGCAATGAATCCATTTCCAGCTGTATTGGCATCTGAAATCATTTGTACCAACATCTTATTGCCATTGGCCACAAGGGCACCTGGTTTGAAAGTACCACAGAACCTGCCCAGGCGTTGTCCATTGGCATGACCATTGTAAACATCCACAAAGTCATATCTGCACAAGTTGTCACTTTCCAAGTCTATATATCTAAAAGACAGAACTACCACCTTTCCTTCAGGCACCTGTAGAGGGGAGAGAGTAACGTATCTTAACATCATCGTCATCATCACTACATGACTAGCTGCTCTGCATAACTGTTGTTTGCGTTTTCAACTGTGTATATTTTCAAGTTCCTTTCCCCAACTTACCATCGAATTCTTCATTCAAGTACAGATGAGATGTTGAACAAATAATATGGGATGCTCCCTCTCTGTTCCCAGCTCCATCCTTTTCTGTTGCAGTATTCCCTTCCTATTGCATAGCATCCTCTCTTCAAAATGGTGCTTTGACAAATGTTAATAACTGCTATTCAATATCACATCCCAACTCAACTGCAACTCTAAGGCCCAAGCACATCCTCTACCAGTGATGTCACATCCACCTTTGCACTCATCAATGGAGAGCTAATCAACTGGTTAATGTCAGGGCCATTTTTTTTAATATGAACCAGTCAATCAATTTTGAATTTAGTTCACTTGCCCCTCTCATCCTGGTTATCTGTGGCATTCAAGGGTTTATAATAAAGCTGTTCAATTTGGGGGATTTTACATTTTCGGATCATTTTTAGTAGTAATTTAATAAACACAATATCAATTTAGAAAAGAAAAAGGGAAACTTTGTCTAAAACTGCACAGCTAAAATTAACAACTAAATGGAACCCATTTAGTTCCATGGATGTAGTGGAAATACTTGTTTTAATAAAGAATAAGTAAAACTACAAGTTGGATACAGAGTTCAAGCAAACCATTAGTATGCAATGATAAGAGAGCCTTTGGTAATAAGGGTCTAGACACAAGTTACATTTTAAATTACTTTTTGGTTAAGGGTAACACTGGTTCCTGCAACACTAAGGTCTAATGCTGTTTTGCTGCTTTAACAAAAAGCATCTAAAAAAACCTTTGGTTAAATGGAGAATATATTTGGATAGAAATAGTTATATGTTTAAAACAGACTGTGACGGTCCACACCCCTAGGGTAAGAGCAGCGTGGCCCGTTGGTCACAGTCTATAAAGCAGCCCTTCAGTGCAGGGCAGCATGGCCTAGCGGCCAGAATCTATAGAGCCACCCTTTGATGCAGGGCAGCGGGGCCTAACTGCCGGAGTCTATAAAGCAGCCCTTTGGCGCAGGGCAGCGTGGCCTAGCAGCCAGAGGCTATAGCGTTGGGGCGCCCCTTATAGGGTGGGGCAGCCCTGGTAGGGGGGCCCGGGCCCACCCAACTCCACCAGGCCCCGACCCAGAGCCCTAACAGTGGCGTAGTGGCTTGCCACTGACTCAGCAGGGGGTCCTACCGAAACACGCTGAGTTTTCCCAGGGGGAGGTACCACTCAGTCACCCTCCCTGGTCACTTCCTACCAGAGTCTGTTTTGGGGTTTCCCATGAGATGTCGGGTCCTCTGTGTTCGGCAGGGCCAGTCGTCTCCAAGGGTTCCTCCAGTCACTGGGGTGCAGGCAGGCCGTGGACGGTTTCGATTCCCGGTGCAGTCAGGGGCTGTGGCTGGCCCTCCGCAGGAGCTTCCCAGGCAAGTCCTTCCCCTGCGGCCTCCAGCCCAGAATGAGCTGGGCTCTCTAGCTTTCTACTACTAGGGTATTTGGAGCATGCTCAGTCTTGCCAGGGGGGTGGGACTTCTGCTGTCAATAACATGGGCTTAATCCTGTCTGGGCTAGTGCAACGTAAGCAGACCCCGTCACACACACACTCCTGTAAGAAGGACCCCCGGGGGCAGTCCGTCTCCCCTTCCTCACCTCCCTGTCTAGAAAAGAAATCCATTAGCATGAGTCTTACCCGGATGATGAAACACGCGGAAGTCGTATGGTTGTAGCGACAGGTACCAACGCATGATTCGGGGGTTCACGTCCTTCATGCTGTGTATCCACCTGAGGGGGGCATGGTCAATGATCAGTTTGAAGGTGTTCCCCAGTAGATAATAGTGCAGGGCATCAATAGCCCATTTCACGGCCAGGGCTCTTCCTCTATCGTTGAGTAGTGTTGTTCTTGAGGAAATAATTTGAGATTCAGGTACAGTACTGGGTTTTCCTCCCCTTCCAGTTCTTGGGAGAGTATGGCCCCTAAGCCTACCTCTGACGTATCCGTTTGGAGTATGAATTCCTTTGAAAAATCAGGGTGTCGCAGGACCAGTTCCTGTGAGAGACGTTCTTTCAGAGTCCTGAAGGCCTTGTCGCATGGGTCAGACCACTGCACCTGTCCCGGCTGAGAATTCTTAGTCAGGTCTGAAAGGGGGGCAGCTATAGACGCAAAGTCCAGTACAAAGCGGCGATAGTACCTGGCCAGTCCCAAAAACTGGCGTACCTGTTTTTTTGTCTTGAGCGTGGGCTTATACCTTATTGATTAGTGGGCGTAATTTCCCTCCCCCTACTACATACCCGAGATAGGTCATCTCTTCCTGTCCGAGATGGCATTTCGCCAGGTTGGCTGTGAGGTTGGCTGCTCTAAGGGACTGGAGGACCCCAGTGAGGTGTCTGAGGTGGTCCTTCCAGTTGTTACTGTAGACCACAATGTCGTCTATATACACTGCTGCATATCGATTGTGAGGCAGTAAGAGCTTATTCATCAGCCGCTGAAAAGTCGCTGCGGCTCCGTGTAGCCCGAACGGCATGGTTACAAAGTGGAAGAGGCTGAATAGTGTTGGGAAAGCGGTCTTTTCCCGGGAGTTTGGTGTAAGAGGGATTTGCCAGTACCCTTTGGTTAAATCTAGGGTTGACAAATACCTCGCTCCCCCAAGTCGTTCTAGGAGTTCTTCCACCCGGGGCATTGGGTACGCGTCGAACCGAGAGACAGCGTTAACCTTCCAGAAATCGATACAGAATCGGGTGGTCCCGTCGGGTTTTGGAACCAGAACGATTGGGCTGCGCCATTCACTCTTCAACTCCTCAACTACCCCCCCATCTCAAGCATCATATCCAGTTCCTGTTGTACTATGGCCCACATCTTCCCAGGCAGTGGTCAGTGGTTGTCCCTCACTCTCTGACCGGGTGTCATCGCAATATGATGGCTCATAAGGTTGGTTCGTCCCGGATGGGTTGATAGAAAGTGGGGGAAATCCTCTATGAGCCGCGATATTTGCTCCTGCTGAGCCGTGGTGAGGCCAGTCCCGAGCATAGCCAGCCTTGGGTCTAGGAGTTCCCTGGCTAGTGGTCCAAGTTCTGGGTCCGGGGGCGATGAATAAGGCCTCCCTGGCCTTCCAGGCCTTCAATAGATTCACGTGGTATGTCCGGGTGTCCCTCCGTTGTCCGGGCAACCGGACCTCGTAATCTACTGGCCTGACCTGTCGGGTCACCTCGTAAGGCCCCTGCCAGTTGGCCAGGAGCTTTGATTCGGCTGAGGGTCCCCAGGGCCAAAACTCCGTACCTTAGCCCCTCTGTTATATATCCATTCCCGCATCTCTTGGGCTCCGGCGTTTCTTGGGCTTGCAGCAGGTTCTTCCGGGCGAAAGCCCCCAAGGTTCGGAGCCGTTCTCGGAGGTGTAGCACATACTGGGTGGTCCCGAGTACTCACATCTCCTGTGCCTCCCAGTCTTCTCTCAGGAGGTCCAGGATCCATCGGTGGTGCCTGCCATACAAGAGTTCAAAAGGCAAGAACCCGGTCGATGCTTGGGGTACCTCCCTTATGGCGAACAACAGGGCTGGCAATAATGTATCCCAAGGGCTGGGGTCTTCCTCCACGAACTTCCGCAACATGGACTTCAGGGTACCATTAAAACGCTCCATTAGACCGTCCGTTTGTGGATGATAAACCGATGTTCGGAGTGTCCGTATATTCAGGAGGCAGCACAGCTCTGCTATTAGTTAGAGGATATGTTAGTACCCTGGTCAGTCAGAATCTCCCCGGGTATCCCGACCCTAGCGAAGACCTTCACTAGTTTGGCAGCAATCACCGGCACCGTAGCAGCTCGGAGGGGAACAGCCTCGGGGCAAAGTGTTGCGTAGTCCATGATCACTAAAATAAAGCGATTCCCTGTCTTACTTCTTTCTAAGGGTCCAACCAAGTCCATTCCGATGCGTTCAAAGGGTACACCGACCACAGGCAGGGGTATTATCGGTGCTCGGGGTACACCCTTCGGTCCGGCCCGCTGGCATTCTGGGCAAGTCGTGCAATAATCCCCGACCTCTTGGTGAATGCCGGGCCAAAAAAATATATATATATATATATCGGCGGGCCACCCTCTGAAGGGTCTTTTCCCGCCCCAGATGTCCTGCCCAGGGGTTTGCATGCGCTAACTGTAGCAGGCCTCGTCGCAACCTCTGGGGAACCAACAGCTAATGGAGCGGCTCAGGTGTCTCTGGTTCCTGCACCACCAGAGATAGGTGATCCCGCCAGATCTCAAACCAGGGCCCCTGCAGAGGTCTCGGAGGTGTGTCCTCTCTGGGGTCAGGGACGGTGGCCTGCTCCCAGGCCCTAGTCAGGGTCAGGTCTTCTCTTTGCTCCCTCACAAAATCAATATCTTGCTCCAGCTCTGCCTGCACGTCTTCCAAGGACGGCTGTTGGGCGTTGGCAGGTGCCTTCCCCGCCATAGATGTCCCTTCCCTGGGGTCGGACTCTGGTGTGCGTCCAAGCAGTCCCCTCCCTGCAGGCGTAGCCCCTTCCATTTGTGGAGTGGGGGGGTTGATACTGCTGGAGGACCTCCCTAAATTCTGGCCAGTCTCGCCCCAGCACTACGGGGGTAGGCCAATCTGTGAGCCATGCTCATGTGGAGGATTTCCTCCCGCTGGCCAATCTCAATCCTCACTCAGGCTGTGGGGTAAGGGCGGATGTCCCCATGTACACACTGTAGGTGTATCTGTTCCCCTGAGAGTCTAAGGTCAGGAACCAGCCCCTCCCACAAGAGGGTCTGACTGCATCCCGAGTCCACAAGGGCATTCGTGGAGGTCCCTTCGACCCGCACAGGGTCTACTAACTTTCCCAGCCCCCTTTTCCGGGCTCTTTGGCCGGCAACCCAGACTTGCCTATAGTTGCAATCCATGAACGGGCATTCCTGCTGAAAATGTCCCTCTTGTCCACGCTCCCA